CTGCTGAGAGTACCTCTGCGGCAGGCTGGGAGCAGGCTGGGGTCGGCAGGCCTGCTACAGCACAATGAACTGCTGGAGTTGTTGGCAGTTATGAGCCACCCGACACGGCTTTCTTAGTCAAAGATTCTTTTTAGTTTTTTGGTTTTTCAAGATTTGGTTTCTCCATGTAGCCTTGGCTGTCCTAGACTAGTTTGTAGACCAGGCTGGCCTTGAATTCACGGAGACCCACCTGCCTCTACCTCTGGAGTGCTGGAATTACAGATGTGTGCCAGCTCACCTGGCTCAGTAACAGATTCTTGTGACAGGATGGACATAAATCAAAACACTAATGGTGATATCTGGGGATCTGGGAGTAAGGCTGCTTTGTTTTTGCTCTCTGTGTTCTCAGACTTTTCTAGTTTCCGTCTCTGACCTTGCATGCTTTTGGTAAGGAAAAAAAAAACCATAAAAATTTCTTAAAGAGAAAGAACAGTTGTTCTTGGTGTGTTTGTGTGTGTGTGTGTGTGTGTGTGTTCCACATGTGGTGGCGTACATCTATAATGCCAGCACTCAGTAAGCTGAGCTGCTGAGGGTTAAAGAACAGCAGGGTTACACAGCAAATACCACACATGGGCTATAGAATGAGATTTTATCTTAAAAAAAAGTTGGTAATAGTGGCACACACCTGTAAGCCCAGCACTGAAGAAGGAGAGGCAAAGCCTGATCTACAAAATGAGTTCCAGGCAAGCCAAGGCTACATAGCAAGACCTTTTCTCAAAAAACAAAACAAATACAGTGAAAAGTGAGCGAGAATGAAGGAGAGAACGCAAGACCCAGAAAGCTCTGGAATCCATGCTACCTAAAGCCAGTGTGGTCATAGAAGCGGAGAGGGCACAGCTAACCACAGAGATAAGGGCTTAGTTCCGACTTTCCCATCCCATCTTATTTTTCTCTGCACCAACTTCATAATTCAAAAGCTGTCAACCATACCTCAGTCAAAGAAAAGGATTTCAAAGCCCCCACTTGGTGGGAAGAAATGTCATATTGAGGCTTCACCACAGCGCTCATCAAAAGCAGAAAGAGCAGCACCGTCCCGGGGGAATGGCAGTCTGCAGCAACTGTCCAGCATGGCTCAGGGTGGGAGTGTGCGGAGACGTTAATGGCTAACAGAGGTTAGTCCAGCCAGGAATCCCCTTACAAGGACAGCAATGCCTCCCTGGTTTGTAACCCACAGCCCTCGGGGTAGGCCTCTGTCCTCAGGGAGCACGGCAGCATCTGACACTGTCAGACACACAGGCTCTGACAAATCCTGACTACTTCCAGGGCCAAAGGTCCTTGTCACTTCTGTAAAGCAGCTGGGTGTGGACAACAGGGTGGGGCTCATGGCTCTCCTGGCTCCTCCTTCCCTCTCTTCCACGAAAGGCCATGTGGTCAGAGCAGAGAAGGAATACTTTCAGAAATGTTTAACCACTAATGATAGCAGTTTACCCTGAATGACAGGCTGGAGCAGGGACGGGATTAGTTCATAAATCAGGGGCAGCTGGGACCACTTTGCAAGAATTGCTGCCTCCCTGCTGGGGCCAACTGCCACCACCTCCCCCAGACACCAAACTAACAAACTCTCTCTCTTTCTCTCTCTCTCCCCTCTCTCTCCCTTTTCCCTCTCCCTTTCTCTCTCTCTTCCTCCCTCTCCTCTATCCCCACCTCTTCCCCCCCCCTCTCCCTCTTTACACTAGGACCCTCAAAGGGAAGGAAGACAAGGCCTTACCAATTGAGGAAAATTTCTTCAGCAGTTTCCTCTCCTGGCTTGCTCACTCAACCCTTAAAAGATGTGATTGTGTTGTGATTACAAACTGGCCCACTCGCTGAAACCACATACCACAGGCCAAAATAGTGCTAGGCAATGGGGAGGAGATGAGCTGGCCTCTGCCACAAACAGCCTGGCTTCAGCTCTGCCCATGACTTCAACCTTGGCTTCATCCCCCTCCACACTGTGGGAGCAAGGAGGTTCTACAAAGCCCCCCAGGCAGTGAGGCAAGGGCTGACCCACCATGCTAGTTGGGCCAAACTCCACAATGGTTTCAAGTTGCCCCGATATAGAAACTCAGCTCTATTCTGACAAATCTTTCCTTGAATGTCCTTAGCTCAGTTCCGCCCTCAGGAACTGAAGCCATCCAGGAATGCCAATCAATGCCAGTGCCCAAGATTCTCGCCACACTCCTCAAAGTGGTTCTGAAGCGAGGAGGTCTCAGGCAACAGCTCACCAGAAACTTTGTCTGCACCTGGACTCCAAAGCCTTGGGTGTCTTGGGACATCTTGTCTCCACCCTTCACGTGGGTCGCTAAATGCACTCAACTGTTAGCTCTAGTCCCTGTTCTAGAACTGGAACCAAACAGTCCCGGAGCCCGAGGAACTGACACCATGGTGAAACACAGTGACCTGTGGTTTTGCTCCAACACATGTGTGTGTCCCCACAATGCTGCTCTTCTGAAGACACTACCAAGAACGAAAAGATGAGGGCCTGGAGAGGCGGCTCCGTAACTGTGAGCCCTGGCTACTCCTCCAGACACCCCAGGACTGTTTCCCCAGCATTGACGTGGTGTGGGGACTTACAGGTGACTGTAACTCTAGTCCCAGAGAATCGGATAACCTCTTCCAGTCTCCTGTGCGCCCACCAGGCTCACATGCAGCACACAAACATACATGCAGGCACTCATACATACACATTAAATAAATAACAAGTAAATTAATAAAATGTTAAGAAAGGCTTTTGATGGGCTGCAAGGTAGCTCAACAGGTAAAGCTCTTGCTCTGCAAACCTGACAACCCAAGTTCACCCCCCCAAAACCCACATACAGGTGGAAGGAGAGAACTCCCAAGTTGCCATCTGACTGCCACACCTGACCACTCTGAGATAGACACACATACATACATACACAGATAAATAATTTTTAAAAATTGGACTGGAGTGTTGGGGGTTGGTCTGATGCTTTATTTTGATGCTAATTACTGGCCCTCAAGATCTGGTTACTGCCCTATCCTTGTTGTATAAAGCTGCCTAAGACATTATTCCTGATTAGTTGATTAAAGGCCTAAAACCGGGACAGAACAGATTGGGTGTGGCTAAGGTTCCTGAGCTTTGGGTTCAGAAGAATCACAGGAAACAGACAGAAGGACAGGAAGAGAGGAGGAAGAAGGACGTCACGATGTGTTTACATGGAGAAGGAACTACATGGGTGTTGGGGGGGGGGAGTACCCCAAGGATGGTGTGGATGGAGAAAACACCAAGATAAAAAAATGTAAGCAAGTATTAATAAGATTATGGATGGAAGGTAGCCCAAATTGGAATGGTTAAAGGTAGATGGCATTGGCTGGGGGATGGGAAGTAGATGGTGAGGTTATTGAGACAGCGGAGGTGAAATATCTGCCCAGCCCAAGGTAAATAAGGCAATTATAAAATCTAACAGGTATCTGTGTCTTATTGTGATAGTGGGTTAAATAATACCACTGCAATAATTATGGGACTAATAATAAACATTATATAGCTCAGCACCCATTTTATCAACAACAACACTGAAGAGATAGCTCAGTAGTTAAGAACACTTGCTGCTCCTCCAGAGGACCCAAGTTCAGTTCCCAGCACCCGTGTTAGTCAGCTCACAAATGTCTCTAAGCCCAGCCCCTGGAGCCCCGGTGCCTCTGGCCTCTGCCAGCTCCTGCACTCATTATGCACACACCCACGTGTAAGTACACTCACCTACACATAATTAAAAGTAAGTCTTAAAATATTCCATTAAAAGCTGGCATGGTGGCTGGTACCTTTAATCCCAGCATTTGGGAGG